GAGAAGGAGGGGGGGAAGGCCCTTGTGGCTGCCGGCCGGGAGGAGGGCCCGCCCGGCCCCGCTGTCCGCCGCTCCCGCTTTTCCACCGCCCGCTTCGCGGTGCGCGTGTGTGTGTCTGTGCGTGGAGGGGGGGTGTTTCCCGCCTCGAACGCCGTCCGCGGGGCGTTCGTGAGGGGAACGCGGCGGGTTTTGCGTTCCGGCAGCGCGGGCGGGGATGGCTCGGAGCCCCGCGGGGAGCTTCGTACGCCGCCCGAGGGAAACGACTCCCAACGGCCCTACGAATCGGTGCGGAAAAACGCCCGCTTCTCGCCCGCCCTCTGCGAACAATGCGGACTCGAGGGTCCGCGACCCGGCCACCAGCGAAAGCATCCGCGCTCTTTCCCCCCAAATGATCAGGCCAGGCCAGAGAAGACCCAGTCGCACGGGCATCAAAAATGGCAGCTCCTTCCTCGTCCCACTGCGAACCGGCAGCCGACGTGTTGCCGCTGTAACGCGCACGAATCGACGAAGCGAAGGATAACCGCCTCCTGCCCATCGCTACCGAACCCAGTATCAGTTTCCACTTGCAGCGATGTGGCTTTCCCAGCGCTAAGGGGACAAGCCGAAAGGCGCCCCCCCCCCGCTCCCCATCCTGGTAGAACACCTTTGTTCTGTAAGTGCTGATCAAAAGAACGTGGAAATAAAATGACCTCTCGGTTGTGGGAACGGCGTGCAAACCACTTAGATACAATTTTGAAAGATTCCTTGGAAGAAAAATGTGTTTACTGCCTCTCCCAGTCCAAATGAAGGCGGCACGCAGGCCACGCCACGGTAAAAGGTGGGCGCATTCAGAGGGAATTAGAGTGTCAGCACTCATTACATCCATCCTCATCTGCGTCCTCCTGCAGGCTAAACACTATTATCGAGACAGGCTGCAGACGCTTTGTATCTCTGTAAACAACCGAAGCCATTGCTTCCCAGATTTCTGAAACACGAATCTCAGAGTAGTTTAATTTGGAAGGGACGCGTGGAGGTCAGGTCTGGGGCGCCTCTCTGGTCCCACCACTTGCTCAGAGCAGGGACAGCATCCACCGTCCAAAGGTTTTCCTCAGGGTCTCATTCAGTCAAGTCTGAATATCTCCAAGAAAGGAGATGGTACGGCCTCTCAGGGCAACCTGCGCCTGTACTTTGCCCTCAGCTGTGAAATTTTTTCCTTTTTATCTAGTCGGACTTTCTTTCACTGCAACTTGTGCCCGCAGCCCCTTGTCCTGCGTGGTGTCCCGCTGCCCGTATATTCTCCCATGCCTATCCAGGCATTACAACAGCATTTGTGACTGCAGCAAAACCGGTTGCAAGAAGATTTAAGAGGGGTTGGCGGGTCTACCCAGCTCAAGCACTTGGTCATGTACCCCCACTATAGTTCAGAAAATGCAGTGTTATCTTATTCCCTTTGCCAAGTAGAGAATGGGTCGGGTATGGTCAATATTAGTTTGGATTAAGATTAAGACCGAGACCACAAGAATCGCCGTGCAGAAGCGGATGCTACAGAGCAAGGCAAAAGAAAGTAAGGTAAAACCCAAGGTAAAGTAAAATCCAAGGTAGAGGAAAATTTTGGTCGTGCCCAGAGGAAATCTTCCAATCTAGCCCCCAAACAGAGGTGGCTTATCTCAACATTAGTTAAAGTGGCTGTGACAGAATAAATTATTCCAAACATTTTTCAAAATGCATTCAAAATGGTGCCATTCAAACTTAGCATGTCAGGTTTACAAACATGAACCAGCTGGGCTGCACAATGCAACTGTAAGATCTGCAGTATTTTTGTGACATCTATAAAGCACAGAGAGAAATATGTAATTTATCTGCTTTTCAGTAATGAAATGTGGTGTGGAAGGTCTCCATTGTGTGTGATTTGTCACATCTTTCACCAACCTATTACCTCTGGGAAGCAAGTATGTGGTGGGTCCTCTCTGCAATAGCACGTATATCGTAAGGCAGTGTATGCTTTTTATATTCTCGATATACGTAATTTTAAACCTCTATGTGCTCGAATACTTTTTCCTTAACTGAAAACACTGAGAGCCCATGCTATCAAGGCAGACACCATTTCATGTGTGGTGGAACCTCATGAGAGCATTAGGATCTCAGAGTAAGACACAGGAAGAGTTTTTAACCTATGAGCCAGTCCAGTGTCACACCCCTTACCTGTTGTCATGTATTTCACTCAGTGAAAGAATTGCTCAAGCATCCTAGTGTGTCTCTGAAAGGGAGATGCACGTGTCCAGCTTGACTTTGCTCCTTGTCAGGTGTTTTCCAAGTTCTTCCGGCTCTTTAGTCCCTGCATTTCTCCAGACTTTTACCCTTTCAAGAGGAGGATGCTCTTACAGTCCATGTCAGGTTCTTACTGAGCTCAGCGAGCAGCACTGTGCATCTCCCTCCTCTCCCTCATGTTGCCCAGTACCCATCGGCAGGGTTAGTGAGCAACTCCATGCTTACTAAAATGGTTTCACCTCCTTGGGAACTCTTTGTATTTCCAGAGCTATCCTTAAGGGCCTTTTATCTTCTTAGTACAATTGCTCGCATCAGTCATTCCAACAAAAGGTGAGCCATCTGGATTGCTCTTAATTCAAACTGGTGGTGGGAAAAAGAGGATTCAAAGCGTAGATAAAGCTGGTGTCTAACAGCCACACTCATTTACCACAGCACCATAAGGAACAGCGGAGAGAGAAGTCTGGCCAGACCTCCTGCACTGACATCAAGATGTTTTCATCTTGGCTTCCTAGCTGAGACTGGATCTGCAGATCTCATGGGAGGATATAAAAATAAAAAGCTATGTTTCAGCAGTGCATACCTAAGTGCAGCATATGATATAACTCAGTAATTACCTCAGCAAATTTCTGAAAATTAAGCAGCAACAAAATTAAAAAGTTGCTGAAATAAACAATCTAAAAACTCTCTGCTTGACTTCTCCATCTGTTCTGAGAGCTGAGCAATATTGCGGTGTAATTTTAATACGTGATTACTTAATTTTGGTTAACTATGGATTATTTTGATAGCTGGTATTCTTTAATGATTAATAAGTAGGCTGAGTAAATGTTAAGTATTATTAAATGCGCTTTACATAGCATGAGTTGGGACCAAAAAAAAAATCACTTCAGAATTTATCTTTCCAATAACATGCTGAAAATATTGAAGAATCATTTTTCTTCTGGCAACGTAAAGATGCCTTAAAATAAAGGCGGGAGGAGGGGAGGAGAGAGGGGGATAACACAGATGGTGAGCTAACCAGCGCTGACATTTCAGAGATTTCTATGCAGCTGGTGTGAAAATATGTTTTAAATACTTAGCAATGCATTTAGGCACCTCTTCAAGTTTATCATTTTGCTGACTGGGTGAACTCAGCCTCGTCACCTGGTGTCACCGATGACTAGGTCCTCATTAACGATACCCCCTGGCTGATGCTTCAGATTTAGACAGGTGTCCACCTGCAAACATGCTGTATTCTGAAACCTACTGATGACAAAAAACCTCAGAGGGGTTGAGGCACCATTTAGAATTTCAATCGCATCCTACACAGTCCCGTTTCTCCGCCACACATCGCGTTTCCCACGCGGTCCTTGACTGTGCTTCTTGATGGAGCACTCATGGTGCCGTCAGTCCCCTTTGATGAGTCTTCAGCTGCTTGGCTGCTCTGTGCCTCATGCAGATACAGTCGAGAAAACAGCCTGCATGTCTATAAAATCTATTTTACTTGCACAGTAAGGCTATATGGGACCACATGAACACAACTATCACACTTTTTCTAGCACGTGCTTGGGATGAAAATCCTGGGTTACTCTGTTGCATTTGCAAAACTGCATTTCTCCAATGGATTTTATGGATGCTTCAGAAAGCAGTACTATGTCTTGTGTGGTCTCTGAATCTCTAGCAGAAACTAGAGGGACAAACTTCACATAAGCAGGTGAAAACCTGCTTTAAATAGTGTAACAAATACTTATTGTCAGGGATGAACTCAGACTGAACCTTAGGTTGAAACCTGCAGAGTTTGAGCTATCATGCATTTATTTTCCAGTGAGAAGAAAATGTAAAATGTACAGAAAAATAGACAGAATCATAGCGAACACTACTTTGAGCTTTCACTTATGGCTCTCAAAGGACTTTTTTGCAACAATTTAACCGAGAGTCTTCCTCCTCCCCTTTTACTCTGTGGGGTAGGAGTCCCACCCAGCCCCTCCTCTCCCTGACCCATCCCATCGTTTTGGCAGTTGCCGGTTCTTCCCTGGGGCTGACAGTGGCACGGTCCCAGGCTACGAGCCCTTCTCCTCCTACCACTCCCACTTCAGCCGGGATGAGTTTTTGATGCAGCTTTGACCTCTAAAGCTTAGTCAGGCAGGGACTCTGCCCTGGGAGGTGCCTCTTCTGAGTGCTCACCACCCAGGGATGTTTATTTTTTTTCAGGTGCTTGAGCTTTCATCTCATCTTTTGGTAGGGACCCAGTGACTACAAGAATGATCTACACATCTGCTTAGCAATCTCCACATCTGTCAGACCACTTCCACCAGCCAGCCAGGCTAAGCCAGAGGACCTGGCTTAGCTTCCAAAGGAATAACATTTGCCAGCAACACTTGGATGCTAAAGAGCTGCACATGGTTTTGTATAGAGTTCGTTAGGAAAGGCATGGTCATTGCTTACCTTTATTAAAAAAGATAGCCTCTGGTCCACTCTATTTATTTCTAGAGATTAGTGATGAATATACTGAAGCTAAATACACGTATTTTGCAACTTTTCCTTCCTTGCCCTGCTTGTTCTTTTAATGGAAAGAAATCAGCACTGGCAAAGGTCATTCATCATTAGATGTGTCATCAAGTGCAATGGAACAAGGTCTTTTATTGTTTTCTTTCTTTTAAACATTTCCAAAACCTTTTTGCTCAAGTTTTTAAATGGCTTCAAACTAGCCTTTAAATTGTTCAAGGGCTTTTCTGCACATCTAAGTGAGGAAGTCCTGAGTCTACCTAACCAATGCCTTTTTGCAGCTTTGTAAAAAGAAACTGCAAATTTATTTCACTAAAATGTTTGTGTTGTTTCACGTGATCCTCTAAGTTGCTGATTAGTTACTACACAGGTGGGTGTAGATGGAGTTTGTCTCATCTCCATAGGCAATCTCTTCTAGGGCTCAGCTAACCTTCCTAATTACAAGGTGGTAGCCAAAAAACACTGGATGGGCTTGACTCACTAAACTATAAGAAAACCTAGACATCAGAGAAGGTTGTGTAATAAAAAGACACAGAAGAAAAGCTAGGATCTTGTTAACGGTGAGAAAGTGGGCAGAGAGGAAGGCTGTACCTTCAGTAGCGGGGTGCCGTACGGGGAGAGAGCAAGGTCCCTGCTCGCCGGTGGGAATGTTGTCCTGGGGTGCTTGGGCTGGGAATTTGGCATCACAGGCACAAATCCATACCTCCCAGCCAAATGTATTACATGTCAGATTAGACATTACCCAGAGACATTAATGGCTTGGGTTTAAACCAATAGCATCTACATATATATATATATACACCCTTA